AAATGCGTACTTACTTGTAACCGTAAAACTTTTTTTATCGACGACCCTTGAACGAAGTGGTTAATTCGTTCAAGCGAGGACCATAGTCGTAATAACAACAGTTATGGGTCGTTTGATGTACACAATCGTAGGAAAAGTTAATTTTCTGCTATAACGTGAATATAATTAAAAATGCTAGTCCTGAAGCATAGCATAGTCCAAAATGCAATCATATCTTTCCGTCGTCAAATTGAAGCACATTGTTTTGAACCGCACAGCCTCGAAAGCCAATCAGTTTTGTCAATCAATTTGTGCTCATATAAATCGTAGCGCCGGCTAGGAGACGGTTATAACTTATTTCTTCAATTGCTAATGCCGGACGCGTTCGCGTTACGCGTTTTCAGATTCCTTGTAGTTGTTTATTAGTGTATAATTAAAAAAGTGAATAGAAAACAAATATGAAGATATTAATGAGAGCGGACACTCATTATAGTATAGTGGTTAAGGATAGTGATTATGAAAAACCAAATTATACTTTCTCTCAGGTGTGTACTGCATTCATTATAACTTTTATTTTAGTTAGCTGGCTAGTGTCCAATATACTTATCCAAATATACGATATGTACTACATATTTGCGATAAGTTACTTTATATCTCGTCTTAAAGTTACTGCCTATATAGGTCCCACTCCTGGGCACAGGCCTCCGTTCATTTCTGAGAGGGTTTTTATGGGATATCTCGCCTTACGACGAACTTATTTCCTCAGTTTTATAATTTCACATCTAGAGAATAAATTACAGAAGAAAGGAATAAAATAAGTTCCAAATTAATCGCCTCTAACATTAGATACTTAAATGAAAATCTATTTATATCTTTATAGAAAATCATGACGGGCGATACTCAAGAAATGTAATTAATTAATCTTTTAACAAACTAATATTTCGTGCAAGAATAAAAGACAGTGATTTGTGGATGTGTGGGCAATATCATTCAATATCAATTTGCATTCGAGCATATATTTTGTAAGAACTCACGAATTCGTTGTCATGTTGCTATTTAACTTTCTTGTAAGTGTAAAACATTAATAACCTTACACATCGCTACTGAAAAAAGTAGGTGCGCGCGTGTTGCGGGGAGAAGTGGGAGTGGGGTTACTTATTATAAAAATAGCATCCGAGTCAGGAGTATGAGAGCTACGCCCGTTTCGCTTCCCTCAGCGGGATCAGCGCCTTTTCATTAACCCAATAAAACTACATAAATAGATTCATGAATCTATGATATGTTCATACGACTTTATCGGTGCTAAGTTTCATCGAAATTAGAGAATTAGTTGCAGAGGAGACAGCAAAAAAAAATTTCATCGGAGTCGGGGATAAGACGGCTACGTATGCTACGCTACTCCTGTATAACTATTTATATACATTTTTAACGTTAACGTTAAGTTCGAGATGTTAGTATTAAGTAATATTATACTACACTATAACTTAAATCGTGTTTTAAACTAATTATTATTCATTAAAATTCAATTTGGTTCTAATATATTCGCACATAAAAAATATGAAATAATAGGTACTTTTATTTTCATTTCATAAATCACATAATAACCGTGATAAAAAAATGACTTCTTCTACAATGTGACTTCATTAAACAATGTGCAACCAAGTACTCTCAGTTAATACAAGTTGCTTTTTTCATATGTCACATACTTTATAATGTCACATTGGCCCTAAGTTTGTGAATTCATTACCTTATGGTCTAAGAGACAGTGAACGGCAGACTTACGGTATTTCAATAAGCTTAAAGTTTTTTTTTTCAGTTAGTCCCCTATACTTGTGAACGGCTGTAATGATGATGGTGACTATACTAAAGAACAGTTGAAAACAAGTATTTTAATTAATGTTAAAGAAATTTTAATTTAATCTAGACTGGATTAGAGCGAGTGCTATATAGTACGCATTTATGGACGACACTGAAGTTCGCTGTCTGCTTGTGATAGAACCTCAATAATATGTCAATGTTATATATGTGAATTAATGTAAACTATAAAAAAATGTTACTTAAATTAGCAACCCAACTTCCATGACCTTGGAACTGCCATAAGTGTGTTTTTTGTTGTTCCACTGCCGTGCCATAAGATGTTAAAGCGGTAGGCTTATTACTTTTACGTTTCTTTCGGTCATTTTCTCATGCCTTTTACACCTGAGCGTCTCTATATCAAACGTCGGTCAAAATAAAGTCTCCATTTCATGTACCTAAGGTATAGGGGATAAACTGAAAAAAAGTGAAGCTTATTGAAATACCGTAAGTGTGCCGCTCACTGGCTCTTAAGCTATTATTAAGTGCACCATGTGACGTGTTTATGTGTTTCGATATACCTATATACCTAATATGCATAAATATTTGAGTCATGCATTATTGCAAGTTACGCTATACTTATTACCTTATCAATTTAAGAAATAAAGGAAACAAAGATTAGCAGCAAAAAAGTTTCAACTTTAAGTAATATTTAAAAAGTGAACGATAAATATGTAATTAGATATTTGCATTGCTTTAAAACTGTGTGTAATGCCTTCAATGCTACTTAATGTGCGAATCTGTAATGCGGAACAATCAGACTGATGATTGTTTAAATTGATCGTCGGCGGATGGCACATACCTCACACCTCCCATTTTTTACGTTTTTAGAACGTGTTTTACGTCATCCATTGTTGAAGGATAGCTAACGGGATATGAACAACGTAATGGACTAAGAACATTTTTTGGAACTGTTTTGTTTTGAAACGTTTTATAATACGTACATAGTAAACTATGTTATACACTAATGTTATAGATTATTTATATATAAAAACATATAAATAATCTATAACATTTAATCTATTAGATCCTTATATATATTTAATTAAGTTTGAGCTATGAGTATGATGTGTGTGGAGGGGGGTGAGGGTGTATGTGAATGTGAAATTTATCAATTTTAGGTTTTATTCTAGCCACTCCCACTAACTTTCCGGTTGGCTGGTATAAAATGCCATATGGCATTAAGTCCGCCGTTTGTACCTTTAGTACAATAAAGTGTAAATAAATAAATAAACTAATGTAAAGAGAAGCAAAATTAATTTAATTTGTTTAATTTATTTTTTAGATATAATACAAATAATCATATCCAGACTTCTAAAGACGCTACAGTACGTTACAGTCTATTGAAGTCCACTGCTGTACATTTGCCGCAGTCGTCAGCGTTGGCAAGCGGGTTGGCAACCGCAGTCTATTTTAATTTTGGTTGTAATTAGAAAGACGTTGCTGCCCATGTCCTGATTTGTTTATGCACCCACGGGATGTATGGCAAGTATGGGGTAGCGGATATTCTTACACCGCCACTACTTTACTTTTTAGGGTTCCGTAGTCAACTAGGAACCCTTATAGTTTCGCCATGTCTGTCTGTCCGTCTGTCCGTCCTCGCTTAATCTCTGTGACCGTTAGCACTAGAAAGCTGAAATTTGGTACCAATATGTGTATCAATCACGCCGACAAAGTGGTAATATAAAAATTGGAAAAAAATGTTTTATTAGGGTAGCCCCCCTACATGTAAAGTGGGAAGTGATTTGTTTTCTAATGTAAACCCTAACGTGTGATATATCGTTGGAAAGGTATTTAAAAATGAATAGGGGTTTACTAAAATCATTTTTTGATAATGTCAATAATTTCTGAAATAATCGCTCCAAAAGTAAAAAAACAATGTGAAAAAAATCTGAAAAGTAGAACTTTATAAGGACTTCCTAGGAAAATCATTTTGAACTTGAATGGAAACAACAGTACCCACTACCGGGAGCAGTTGCAGGACGCGCGAACATAATGGATACCCACCTTTACACTCATAAGTGGGAACACTTATTGTGACCGACGGGAACTACGGAACCCTACACTGAGCGTGGCCCGACACGCTCTTCGCCGGTTTTTTCTTTTACTCTAATGACAATACACCCACACAAATTGGGACAAACACTAATAGGATTACGAATGGGGCGCGTCGCACCCGTAGATGGGCACGACGCGTTCCAGCACACACCGCGTACACACCGTACACCCGCGTACCTCGGCGGTTCTCATCGTTCAGACCATCGACCGACACGAGCTGAGCAGTCAGAAGCGTGGGTCCGCACTCCCCCACTCGGACAGCGGTTAGATAGCTCAATAACGCCTAACGAGGCGACATGATGATTGGTAACAATACCAAACCATTAACCATTATCATCATCATCCTCAAGTTCATTGCCTTTCTCTTTTTTAATTAACGGCCTGCAAGGTCGCGAGCCCTGAGTCAGATGAATCTGTAAGAGTCGCATAGACTATCAGCAAAAACATTTCGAAAATAGACACTGCCACAACAGGGTAAAAATATATTACATGAATTAATGTTAGTCTAAATAGATTATCCTTCTTGGTAAATAGAGAAATGTTTGTATGTAAAAATATTTTATTACATTTCAAAATTATTGATCTTAACGTCATAATTAGAATACATTTTTTTTCTAACTTCTAATGAAAGAAATTCTTCTAATTAACTCTGACTGTTACTACTACTCATTCTTTTGTCAGCGCCAAGTGTTAGAAAATTATCGTTTATAATGATTTTCAAAATTTTCCTATATAATGTTTATGCATCATTTTACGAATTTTTTGGGAGATTTCGACGACAGATAAAGCAAGCAGACAGTCGATAACGACAGAAGGCGCCTGAGCGGTGTGTAAAAAGTGAAGTGTTATAAAGTTTATACTTTATATCACTTCACTTTTTTTCGTTTCAACTAACAGTTCATATGTACAGACACTCGACATACAAAAACACGTATCACTTTTACGCATCAAAATGTTCCCCCGCCAAAACACCACATTTTATCTTTCCGTAAAAAATCATAGTTCAATTTTATTTCACGAGACGACCATTTTTTATCAAGTGCCAATAATTTAGGGTTGTTAAGTTATTACTGGAAACATTTCAGGTGTTAGCTGCTGTAGCAGTTTCTATGGGTTCCATGATAATTGGGTTTTCCTCAGCTTATACGTCACCCGCTTTGGGCACTATGCAGAACAGCACGTCCATATCAGTGTCGGAAGAAGAGGTAAGAATAAGATATACTACCAATTTCACGATCTGGTGACTGAAACGAATTCTGAACCTACTTATACGAGGGGTGTTTAATGTATTCTCGCTTTTAGGGTGATTTACTAATAATGTCGATCATTAAAAAAAAATCATTAGCTAACGACACGACCTGAGGATATGAATATCAAATTTCATCTTGATAATTTCATTACTTCTTATATAACCTTTAGTCATAGATGACGGGAAAGACGTGCGCTGATTAAATTCCTCACTAAACAAAGAAAAGCTCAAAAAATATCCATGAAGAAATGGTGGCCATTTACGAAAACTCTGCTCCTTCAATGTCAACCGTACAGAAGTGGTCAAGTGAATTCAAAAGAGACAGGGAAAGCACCGAAGATGCCTGCCAACCGGGTGAACCAATTACAGCGGCTACAGAAAAAAATATGAAAATTATTGAAAAACTTGTATTAAAAGATGCACGAGTAAGAATTAAGATGTCAGCAGAAATGACCTACTACTACCTATCCGTTGGTACCATACACACTATCTCAATCTCACATAAGTCAGTACAAGAGATGGGTGCCGCGAATGTTCACTGCGCTTCAAAAGCAGGCGCGCGTTGACTGTAGTAGGAACTTTATCCCAAGTAACCATAATATATACGTTGTACTATAATACTAATCGAAACAATGAACGTTGTTAGCGAGTGCGTGCGTATAAGGGTCCATGCACGTTACCAAAATTAGATGAGATGGTAGTCAAGCACTGGGTTATATTAGTTAGCTAAGTATTACGTACTAACATTTTCTCGCAGCTTCGTTCGCGTAGACTTCTCTTTACTAACATCGTCTTTTCCATGCTAAAATTAGCAAAACGGATCACTTACGGGATTTACCTTGTCTGTCGTTGACAAAATTCTTCCGAGAGACTATATCATGTATAATGATTTCATGGTATTTGCTTAATTTACGGCATACCTAATGTTTACAGGCCGTATTACATCCATATTTGACTGATTCCTATATTATAGTTTATTATATATTTTTCAAAGTAAAACGAAAACCAAAAATATTTTTATATCCCTAATTAATTTTGATACCATATTACATTAAGTACATACAATGGTCTACCATTATACGATATTATGAAACTCTTTCAGGCAAGCTGGGTCGGCGGATTGATGCCTTTAGCAGCGCTGGGAGGGGGTTTAATAGGGGGGCCACTTGTGGACTACATCGGGCGAAGAAGAACTATTTTGTTCACCGCTGTACCTTTTTTCGTGGGCTGGATTCTCATAGCCACGGCGAAAATTGTACACTTAGTACTAGCAGGTCGTGCCATATGCGGATTGTGTGTCGGTGTTGGATCACTGGCTTTCCCTGTGTACCTGGGGGAGACGATACAACCAGAGGTGCGCGGCACTCTAGGACTATTCCCAACTGCAATTGGTAACATCGGTATTTTACTTTGTTATGTTGCGGGAAAATACCTTGACTGGTCACAGCTAGCCTATTTAGGAGCTTCACTGGCGGTTCCATTTCTTATACTTATGTTCATGATCCCAGAAACTCCACGATGGTACATATCGCGAGGGCGCACAGAAGAAGCACGGAGAGCGTTACAATGGCTTCGCGGCGCTCACACTAAAATCGATAACGAGATTCGGGAAATTGTTTTATCAGACGCTGAAGTAGGTAAAGAGTCTGCTATAGCCGAATTGTTAAGCAAAAAATACATGAAGTCCATATTCATTTGTTTAGGCCTAATGGCTTTTCAACAGCTCTCCGGAATAAACGCAGTAATATTTTACACAGTTAAAATCTTCAAAATGTCCGGGAGTTCCATTAACGAACATCTGTGCACGATTATAGTAGGGATCGTTAATTTTATATCAACATTTATAGCCACCGCTCTGATTGACCGCGCTGGCCGTAAGATGCTTTTATACATATCTTCAGTTACTATGACGTTAACTTTAATGACATTGGGCACATTTTTCTACGTACGTGACAGCCTTAATTTGGATGTTATCACATTAGGTTGGCTTCCACTTACTTGTGTCATGATTTACTTGCTAGGATTCTCGTTGGCGTTTGGTCCTATACCTTGGCTAATGATGGGTGAGATATTACCAGCAAAAATAAGAGGTGCCGCAGCCTCAATATGTACATCTTTTAATTGGCTGTGTACTTTTACTGTAACTAAAACTTTTCACAATATATTAGTAGCAATAGGACCATCCGGCACTTTTTGGCTGTTCGGCTCCATATGCTTCATCGGTTTATTTTTCGTGGTAGTTTGTGTACCAGAAACCCGTGGCAAAAGCCTGGAGCAAATAGAAAATAAATTGACAGGCAGGCAAACAACCAGAACACGAAGAATGAGTTCCATAGCCAATATCAAACCGTTACCAAGTGGTTGTTAGTAGATACATATACTTACACAATATTGTAAAATTTTATGTAGAGATAGTACTTATGCATTTTTAATTTTAATTATTTTCTTAATGCCGCTGATATGACCTTTGTTAATTAATATTTTTACTATAATATGATAAATGCGTCGCACTTAAAAGTGTAACAGCTAAGTTAATAAGCGCCGCCTTATAGTTCAATAATCATTGTTAATTATCATTTTAAGACTAGGAAAACATCGTGAGGAAATTGACGTCTGCAAGTCAATTTTTTTATACCTTATGTATTATTATACCTTTGTATTTTTTATTATTAATGTTAATAAAAATCATCTTTAACAAAATTTGCCGAAGTTAAAACAATAGTGAAACGTTGGTCACATTGTAATAATTACATTCAATACCTAGGCGGAGGATTTGTTAATGTTTAGTCTGTTCGCTTAGTCACAGAAAAATAATAGTACTACGTATTAGTGTCAGTACACCCGGAGGCGTACTAATTAACTCTTATGTTTATTGTAATATAATAAGAATATAAATAATAAAAATAAGTTAGGTAGCAAAGAACCTTTCACTACGGCACTTCGTTTTAAAACACCAAATTCTCCTGCGGGTGTACACTGCACGCAGCAACCTTTGATGTCGCAACGGCGCTTTCGACAAGATGCGACATGTGCCAAGGCTACCCGGCATAAAGGCGACCGCATGGAGTTGGAGGTTTTAGAGAACAGGAGAACGATCGCTACGTGCTAAAGAATAGCCCGCCTGTCCCTGAAAATTTGTAGAATTTATAGCCGCGCTGCCGTCGGTAAGTAGTATCTGCGAAGTAATTTTTTAACTATGGACAAAAAGAAACATTAAAAATGGTGAAATTATATTAAAAAGAAATAATAAATCAATAATCAAATTAATAATTTATATTTGTAATAATTTATAAAATTTTAAGTAATTAAAATTATAATAAACATAATTTATAATTTATTTATTCATAAGCTAATAATAACAATAATTTCGTTATTTTTTTTCCTTGAATGATGTTATAATCATTTCAAACTAGGGCACAACAGCCCGCTTTAGCACAACTTAGTGGCCGTAGCGCCTCACTTATTATGTCCATATTTCTGGGACACTATTTTCTACAGCGATCGTTCCCCTGTTCTCTAACCTCCATAGGCGACCGTATAAAAGCGAACAGACTATATAATAAGCTAAAGCTATTAAGTTTTAAATTTGAAATTCAATCAAAGAGACTGAACAATTTTACGCCCGGCAATTATTACAATGATTAATATTTTTTATTAACTTAAATATGATAATATGATTTATGTAATATTGGATGTATTTCCAAATTTAATTTTAAGTTACGTATCAGAGTTATCATTGTATTACACCTATTTAATTCTTTGATGTGATATTTTGAGCGGTGTGTTAGCAGCTCCAAAAGAATTCATAACACCATCTCGTCCTATGACTGGCAGCGAAATAGTTTATGGAAAATGTTAATAAATATGATTACTATCGATAGCGATAGCAGCTACTTATATGCCACCCAGACCTGACACGAGGAGCAACGCAAAAGTACCTACGGAATGTGTGGTATGCTACCTGCCTAATAATCTCCTGCAAAAGTAATTTTCACTTTTCAGCAATATGTTTTTAATAGCTTGATGAAGATGATAAGAGACTATATATTGTTATGGGTGTGTTGTCTATAATGCATGTTTGCGTTAACAAATTATCTTGTCAAATTATAATTTGATGAATGAAGATTGTAACTTATTGAACAGATGTTAAATAACATAAAATTTAATTGTTATTAAAATATTATGTATTTTAATATAATACAACCTCTATTGTAAACCAAGGTTGATATACCATCAATGTTGATATAATTATCTACTAATCAAAACTTATAAAATAATTATTTTTACTGATAGGTAATAATAATATAAGGGTCTCAGATACTTAATAACTATCATAAATTATTTTAAAAGAAGTTAGAAAAATAACCGAGTTATTTTTAGAACTTATTTATAATTCAGTAGAATGCAATAATATAAAGTATTAATAAATTGCAAATTTAAAGATAACAAGTATTATTATAAATTAATATATTTCATTTCTTTTGAACTATTTTATCCTACCCTAAATAACTTTTATAACTTATAGTACTTAACTTTAAAAAATTTAAATTTATTTTTTGTATAGAATAAGGATGACAAACAATGGTACGTGGATGCTGTGGCCCATAGACATCTACATTTATCCTCGATTAAGAATCAAAACACATATGCGTTGTCACCACTAAGGACTATGATGGAATGTCTCGTTTTCAGTAAAAAAGGGTCTCTGGATCTCTACACTCACCATACGAAACACAGCAGAATTAAATCTTATTTATAATTAAGTAGAATGCAATATTATAAAGTATTAATAAAATGAAAATTTAAAGATAACAGTATTATTCATTTCCGCTATATTCCTACCCTAAAAACCAACCTTATGCTTTTTTGTACAAAAAAAATTCGCTACAACTAGAATTCGAATCCAGGATTCGCGACGTGGTAACCATTGTCATTAGGTCTAATAGTAGTCAATGAATGTAGTCCTGTACCGAGTCAGGAATTCTTTTTCAAATCACCTTGCTGTCTTTGTGCTTGTTTTAGGTATTTTTGAGGTGTCCATGGATCACCGCAGTGGCTACTAGTTACCATTTAACTGTGAACTGTGGAGCGAATCAGATCTGCACAAACTAAGCAGGATTTAACATTATTCAGTCCATACAACATATATATATATATATACAGTTGACTCGCGGTAATCCGACAAACTTTTTACATGGTGATGTCGGATTATCGAATTTGTCAGACTGTAGGTGTAGACTACTGCCACAGCGCCCTGGTGGTCCGGAACTTTTTGTAAAAGAGTACCTTGTAATCTGACAGATTACATATCAAATATAAAATAATAAAAAATAAAAATGTCATGTGGTGCACAATGAATACCTAAACAGTAAATAATGAGTGCCCGCTAGGCCGCTACCATAGTCACATTTGAACTGAGACCATACGCGTAAAGCTAGATTCGTGGTAGCGCGAACTAATTGCAAGCTGTTTGTCCACGTATTCACGAAGGAGACGTCTCCCCGCAACTCGAATCTACCCACAAGTTAAAGACATGTCGGATTACAAGGGGGGACGGATTAGCCAGGGGCCGGATTACCAGGGGGTCCACTGTATATATATATATATTAATCCACATAATAATAAATAATATCGATTGTCATTGTGGATGAACAAATTACAGATATCATTGACATTATTCAGTCCATATTCAGGCTAACATCTGTAAGCTTGTAGTAGCAGGTAGCAGGAAGGTTTAGTGGTCTTCGAATAAATTTCAGTGAAAAAACCCTGTCAGATCCATGATGGTGTTATTAGGTATCGTGAAATGATTCTGTTAATCCTTTCATGTAAGAATTTTCAGACAGTAAATAGAAAACAATACTCCACATAAAAAATAATTAATAGGGGAACTTACATGGCTATATAATATGTAGCGCGGCAACCGTCCGGTAATAATCAAAACCGCCACACCGCCGATGACTATGCCGTGCCGACAGATTTTAAAATTTTCGGATAGACAGCTTTGTGGCGCAGTGGCTTAGTAATAAATTACGGCGGTGAGGGCCGCGGGTTCTAATCCCGAATGGAACAAGTACTTGTATGGGCTAAAGTATGCCACGGTACAGGCGGAATTCCTAGTATACGGTAACATCTCTTTAAAAAATACAGGATGCTTTTTATATAAAAGAGTTCGCACTTGTTCAGACGACAAATGGCTACTGCAGCCCATGAAAATATCATCTTAAAAACAACGAACTTCAAAAAACGTGTGGTATATTTTCTACATAATATTCAAGTGGCTATGATAAGAATTTAAGTCTGCATTAAGTAATTAAATACTGCCTGTGATGCTGCAACTGAATCACCCCTACAAGTTACTGTAACTGTGTGATTCTTTGATACATAAGGATGACTGAACATACAGTTCACCTAACGTTAAGCGGACGCTGTTGCCTCTATCTTCAATTAAGAATCAAAATGCAGATTGTAGCAACTTTTGTCATGGAAGTGGACAAGACAGAACGCCTTCTTACCAGTGCCTGCTATTGACATAAAAGACATTTTACATAAAAGTTATAGAAAGTATCTTTTTTATTTACCACTGGTTTGGAAAAATATATGTATCCTGAGAAGAACACGCAAGAATCTCGAGAGGATTATATTCAAAATTTTATACAATTACTTCATGATTTTCATTTTAATACCATTTTTTAAGATAAATAAAAAGAGATCCATATAGATAGATTATAGAAAAATTACTAACTAATAAGCTTTCTTAATAATCTTCGGCATATCCTAAATTATTTATTTAGCTTAAAATCAAGTTATCATTAGCATCATCATAACAGTCTTATGCTGTAGATAGGCCTCCCACATAGATTGTGTCATATTGCCTTAATTGCCACACTTGGCAGGCGGGTTGGCCAATACAATTTACAATAATATATTGCCTTGCAGGAGGGATATTTATCATAGTTGCTTGGCGATTCAGCAAAAGTCCTATGCTGTACATAGGCCTCCCATATAGATTGCGTCATATTGCCTTAGTTGCCACACATGGCAGGCGGGTTGGCCAATACAATGTACAATATTATATTGCCTCGCAGGAGGGATACTTATCATAGTTGTTAGGCGAGTTAGCAAAAGCAGCCTTTTATTATTTTGAGATGTTAACAGGAATATAATGCAGTTCCTCATCCTGTATCATTTCCATATCACCTTTTAAGACATCCATGGGATGACTGTAGGGTGATGGTGAATTGTCTCGTAAAATTAACAGTATAAATTATTTAAACGCTTAAGCTAAGTGTTTAATTGTTTTAAATTCTGCACAAAAAATGTATTAAGTATGGCCTACAAACTGCTATGGCTCTAATTAGTTTACTA